CTAGAAAAACTTGGAAAATGCTACAGAAAAGATCCCAGGGGTGTAGGGTGTAGCTGTGTTGGTCTAAGGACATAGGCAGACAAGGTTCTTTGGGTGAATCTGGTATCTTTTATTAGACCAAGTTAAATAGTTGGAAAAAAATTTCTAGCAAGCTCAAACTACCATGGATCTTCAGTGTAACACATTAGAGCAAAATGCTGAAAATGTGGGCCTAATTAAAAACCAAGCAGAATGCAGAGGACCAGACTCAAATTGTCCAGCGAGGCACTTCTGTAACACTGTCATCCAACTCCCGCCTGTCTCACATCAACAGTGCTGAATTGACCACCCACCAAAAGGGTGTCACCCACCCAGTAGTCTTGTGCTTACCACAGTTGCCTGAAACCTCGATTCTAGGCTGCCTGCCACTGAGGACATTTTAACCCAGGTTTCCCACTTCCCAGGGGAATGCCCTAACCCCCAGCCTACAGATTAGAGGGGGTGAGGGCGTACTCAATCTCTCCTGTTGAACCTGGGCCAGTGGGAAGACAGAACTGCAAGAATCATGGGGCCACAGGGACCCTGATTCTGTAGCCCAGCGCAGAGGGCACTCCTCTGGGAAGGAGCCCTGGTTGCAGTCCCTTGTTGCACGGTTATTTCTGTTGTACCCAGATGTAATGTGTGTAACCTGAGCTGGGAAGTGGGAACAAGAATGGAGGACAAGGTCACCTCTTTCCCAGAGCAGTGCCCTAACCACAAGGCAGGCTCCTTCTTGCTTTGCTTCTTCCACTTTGCTATGTCTTCGTTTCAGAGGTTTCTTGCTCATAGTTTGCCTCCTTCTGTTCGCCACCTCCCTCCAAACAGTCTTGAGAAAGAGGTCATTAACTCTCAACTGAGTCCCAGCTCTGGCCTATAGTACAAGCCTGGCATTGATGCCCATAACACTAATAAACAGTGATGGGATAATTGCCAAGCAAACTCAGTTACTTTCACCAAGTGATTTATATTAATATAGAGGAGTAAATGTACTGCATTTTACACTGCTGGGAAGAGGAAAGACAGCTATTCACACTTCCTCAATAAACTTTAACAGAGTATATATATGGATCAGATGGTTTTCTGTGCCAAGTAGTAATGTAGACTCCCGTCCACGTCCAACCCACCCTTCAGTGGAAGTGTGGATGATCAACAGCAATGATTCACAATAGGACTCAGATTCTCAAGGATCCAACTGAAATGCACCCAGGAGATGTCCCTCAAGGTATTAAGAGTGAGATTTCTTTAAATCAGGGGTGTCAAATTCACCCCATGCCCTGGGCCAGATCTGAATTGCAGGACTCCTTGTGGTCCAGATCTCAACTGAGGCACAGAGCAGCTGCTGCGGGACTGAAGGGGCTGATGGTGGCTGCAGCGGGGCTAACAGGATTAGTGTCAATGGTGGCTGTGGCAGCAGTGGAGCCAGTGGCAGTAGGGCAAGTGCCTGCAAGCCAAACAGCCGCTTGTCATGGCAGTCGTGGAGAGTCAAGTGGCTGCAGGGCGAGTGGGGTGGTGTAGGCACAACCCTTGCTCTTCCTTTTCCTGCTGAGGACAATATCCACCAGGGCCCAAGGACTCCAAATTCTGCAGCAGGTCACTCCCCGCTTGCCACATCCCCAACTGCTACAGCCTGCTAGTAGCCTGGCAGGTCAGATAGAGCAGGCCTGCAAGCCAAATCTGGCCCACAGGCCATATATGTTGACACCCCGCTTTACCTGGCAATCAGAAAGGCCAGATCTTCCAAAGACATATGAACAGAACCATGCAGGCACAACTGTGACCACTTACCTTACCTAGCAAACACCAGAGATGCACTGCAAATCATGTAAAAACACACATGAGCTATGCAGTGTAATTGTATGTGCATTTCCAGCTTTGAAAGACTGCCTCAAAATGTCCACCCCTGTGACATATCCAAAGACAAAGGGTTGCAAGTGAACAGAGGATTTCAGAAGGCCACTGGAAGGAATGAGTCAGACTCACTCCATTCCAAACCCGTCGCAGTCGCACTGGTTTTTGTTTAAACTCACCCCCTGTCTGACGTACCCTTGCATTCTGCAGGCACAGATCTTAGTAATAAAGCCCTATTAACATTTGAACACATAGCATAGTTTGAGCCTCCTTCTATGCTGGTTATTCCAGTGACTTCTTAAAGACCTGACTTGCTATATCTTACTTCCCAGAGAGCCTGATGTTGCATTTAATTGTTTATACCCACCCAAATCAGCTACCAAGACCCATCTACACTGACTGACAGGATGAGTCTGCAGAATAACTCTGCATCTCCTGATAAGGAAACCGAAGGCCTGATACTGTCACAGGAATAGTCCCATCAAGTTGCCATGCAAGTCCATTGAAAAGCTTTTTCTTTCGAAGCTGGAAGAACTCTTCATTAAACCTGAAAAGTCATTTCCAGTGATAGTAACCATACACAAAAGAGTTCATGGTTTGAAAGGAACCAATGGATAAAAATTGAGCTCGGATACCGATGGGATGAGAATAACTGAGGCGAGTGTGTGTGGAAGCGAAGAAGAAGCAACACAGGCATCTCCTGAGCTTGTCTGAAAGGGGAAGAAGCAAGAAAGATGCTGAACGTTTAAACGGAGCTGTGCAAAATGGGTCAGACACTTTCACAGGAAGGAAATTACATTATGGAAAAGGAGGGTCTCAGCCCTATCACACAGAGGTAGGAATGAATCCTTCACCTCTCTATACCCCTCCAGCCCCAACCTGGCTGGGGTGCCCTTCACAGGACTGGTAAACGCTTGAAGGGAGAAGGCAGGAGGAGGGTGGCACCCAGCTGGAAGAAGAAAGCCATTATAAGACACAAGAGGACTGAGAGCAAAATCAATCTGACCGGGATTTTCCCCCAGTGGTACAGAGGAAACTGGCTTTTCTATAACAGAGGGAGGTGGAAAGGAGTCCCAGCGCCTGTCAGACAGACATAATTTATGTACTTGATGTTTCTGCAAGCTGAATTATTTAAAAAAAGAAAAGCTCAGCCCAGACTTGTATAACAAGCAGTCATAACTCCAGTCTAAGCTGCTCACAGCTGCAAAGGGGCAAAGAGCAAAACAGCTGAAACTCACTTTTGATACATTTGTCCCTCTGTTTCCCAGAGCTGCCCTCCGGGGATTTTGCCTTGTGACTTCCATTCAGCTTAATAGGCCAGGTTCACTGCTGGCATTGGTGGGCACTACCTCACCAAAGACAAGTTGATTGGGTGTGATACGGCTAAATAAATCCTGCTAGGGCATCTGGAAAATTGTGGGGGGAAAGAAGGAGGAGGGGTCTGACCCCCCACTGTATCCAACCACAGTAGCAGCTAGAGGAGGCTGGTGGCTGCTTTTTCGCTTGGGTCTGCCTGGCCTTGGGTCCTCTTTAGATGACTCCCATGCAATGAGCTAGCAGAGCGCTGCTGTGCCCTACCCCCTGCTCGTTGTTGCCCCACCTGTATCGCAACACGTCCTTTCCTTGCCACAAGGTAGATTAGGATGGCCAGGACAGGACCCTCCTCTGACAGCTGTATGCCAGCAGAGAGCTCCCAGGTGGTAAGAAGTGGCTTTCAAGGACTGAAGAATCCTCCCCTGCTTTGTCTCTGTAGGAAGAGGGCTCAGATAAAATCTTCTCCTTGGCTCCTTCCCTCCTCCAAAACTCACAGCTGGCTTCCAAAGCTTGGGAATTCAGTCCCATTGGGCCCCCATCAATACCTGAGATGCAAAGGTCTCAGAGTCGAGGAAGTTCAGACTGGAGTCTGGTTCCAGCTGTTCAAGTTCAACCCCCGAACATGGAGCAAGTAGACAGGCTCCCCTTGGGGAGAAGGAGGATTTATACTCATGCACAGCAAGCCTCAAAGCAGAGGTTTTTTTTTTTTTTTTACAGTTTGTAAAAAATTTTACAGTATTTTACAGAAGCAGCATCTGAGTTAGAGGTGGGCTCAGCACACACTGCTTCTTGTGCCTTGACTACAGGGACCAGCTGAATCACTTCCATACCTATGGCATCTATTTTTAAGATAAGCCATCCTAAAGGTGTGAAAGGAAGAGAGATCCCACAACCCCTGACTGCTCCTGCCCACCACAAATACAAATCTGAAAATTAGCAAAAAAACCTCTGTAAAAATTCCACCATGTGGTGGCTGCTCTCTTACCCAAGTGAAGTTCCCACTACATCGTACCACTGGCCAGATGGAAAACTGGCAGCGAACCCTTTGCACTCTGGCTGTTAGCCAGCAATGGATGGCCTTCAATTAGCTGTTAAGTTCCTACCATTGCTCTCCCAACGAAACCACTGGAGTTGGTTGTAGACAGTGCTATTGCATGTAAATGCCGATGTTTTGTTGACCTTGTATGAATCCATATGACAGACAGTGCAACTGATAACATATGTCCAGTCATTTCTAAGTCGGAAAGGCACTTGGAATTCGCTCAGCTCCTTGGGGAAACCACTCACTTCATAGAAATACCACCACTGGTATGAAAATAAAACATTTCAATGGTTTCATTCTATAAGTAAGCAAATATTTAATGAGTCCCCTCTCACCAAAATTGCTACGGAATAAAAGCTGGAATTTATCACACCCTTTCCTCTTATAAAAGCTGAAACCCACCATAAACGTATGCATCAGCGGTACATGTATTTGGAGACTTTGCTTGTTGCAAATGTGCTCACCTAAAGCCCAGAGAGACATAGGTAAGATAGGAGCATTCAGGACAAGCAAGGGTGAGTTAAGCAGCTGGACTATACAGAAGACTTGGCATCAAACACTGTGCAAAATTTAAGGTCTTTTCCCCTCCACATTTCACATAAGGCCAAAGTATGGAGTCTGACTCTGGCAAAAAGGGGGACTAATATTGTATATGACGTGATCTTCTAGGAAAAAAAGATATCAACTGCAACCGCTGTGCGTTCCACAAACTTGCGAATGTGAATGATTTTTCCCTGCTCATTTAGTAATAAGATAGGATCGCAGAGGAAAGCCTTACCCTGTTGTCCTCTTGAATCTCCCAATCACTGGAGAGGGTGAGGACATGCTGTGCCTGAGAGCAGTTGGAAAACTGGAAGAGGCTGGAAAACATCCTTCTGTTCTCCTGTGTGTCTGGAAATATTGCTTCCTGGAAATTTACTCCGTGGGGAAGGAGGTTATAATTATCATCCATTCTGAAACAAAAATAAGACGAGACGGCTAATGTAACAATGCTTTATTTCCCATACAGGTCGCAATTCATGCCCTTTGCTAAGCAGGGTGCTGCCTAAATGGATTACAATGGGTGACAGGAGATTCCTTAGCTCATTTAAGTTGGCATTGCTCCATGACATCAGCTTTCATGCCAGCATTTACATCAGTGAGGATCTGCCCCAGAGGGTCCAATCCTGCACTGAATACCATACAAATAGATCCTTGCACTCGTACAGACCTCAAAAGGTCCCTCAAGCTGGAGGATCCCAGAGCTCACTGTAGTACCAGAGGTATAATTTGGGATGACCTTACATTTTGGGCACTGTTCTCAATTTAGTATACTATACTCTAAATTTCTTGCCATGCTTCCTGATACCCCAGAGTTTAAGCACAATTTAGATGAGTCAAGAAATAGCAAATGTAAATTCAGGGTTTACAAATATTGCTATCAGTGAAGTATCAGACACCAGCAAAGCACATATTGTTACACTTCTCTGCCCCACACGTAAGTACAGTATATCCTGAGTGTTCCTAATATATGAACAAATATTTTTTGATTGAAAGGTCATCCTGATGGCTTTATTCCCATATTGTTGTTGAATATCCTCATTCTTTCTGTTGCATAAATATTTGGGATCACTGCTAAAACAACATGCCAAACTTTTGAGAGATCAGACTGGTATCGATCCAGTTGGTTAAACTGACCAGAGCCAACGCTGCGTAGAGCAAAATAAATGGGGAATGAGCTGCGCACCATAGTTACTGAACAGCAACTCAGCACAAGTCCCTTGCACAGGAATGTCAAAATGTTTCAACTGCTGCATCTTTACACAATGAAAGACATGATCATGGTCTGCAAGTGTGCAAGGCTGTTTTAAGAAGTTCCTGCCACACATTGATGAACTCAAAGTAGCAATAAGATGGAAACGGATGCCATCTGGGGAGGTTTTTAGTTTTCTTTTGATTTCTTTTTATTTTTCTTCTTTCTATTTTATATCCAGTCTGTTAAAACGGATATAGGAAAAAATTGCTTTCACCATGGCTTGGCTCAAAAAAAGATAACTGGATTGCTAGCAAGAATGCTTGAAAAAAAGTTATATAGCCTATCACAAGTCAGAAGAGAAACAGCACCATGCTCAGTTCTAAACTTAACCCACCAGAAAACACACTGACGTACAACTTTACAGACTCCGCGTTTATCATGACATGATCTTCATGATGCATTTATCATCCTCACCCTTCAGCTGGCTCTCTGTACAGCACTGCAGATTAGAACAGCTGTCCCAGATGATTACATGTACAGAAAGAGGTCATTATCAAACATTAAAACAAATTCAGGTCCAGCTAACAACTAGTTACAGCAATCCTCTTCAGCGATGAGTGGTATGACACATGTTTCCCCCCTTCTTGCAAGCATAAAGCTTTACAGTGGTGTCAAAGTGATGTTGTAGCTGTGATGGTCCAGAAATTATGCGAGAGGCAAATATTTCTTAGGGTGCTCTCTTTTATTGGACCAACGATGTAGCTGGGATAAAGTCAGACAAGTTTTGCACATGAGACCTGAAGAAGAAGGTCTCACATTTGAAAGTTTGTCTAACTTTGTCCCAGCTACATTGTTGGTCCAATAAACGTCAGATAAGGTTTCAAATACGAGATGTTCTTCCTCAGGTCTCACATAGAAGCTTGTCTAACTTTTACTGGACCAACAGCGTAGCTGGGATAAAGTTAGACAAGCTCCCAAATCTAAGACTTTCTTCCCCAGGTCTCATGTTCAAAAGCTTGTCTAATGTTTATTGGACCAACAGCGTAGCTGGGATAAAGTTAGACAAGCTCCCAAATCTAAGACTTTTTTCCCCAGGTCTCATGTTCAAAAGTTTGTCTAACTTTTACTGGACCAACAGCATAGCTGGGATAAAGTTAGACAAGCTCCCAAATCTAAGACTTTCTTCCGCAGGTCTCACGCTCAAAAGCTGGTCTAACTTTTACTGGACTAACAGCATAGTTGGGATAAAGTTAGACAAGCTTTTGAACGCAAGACCTGAGGAAGAAAGTCTTAGCCTTAAATGCTTGTCTAACTTTATCCCAGTTATACCGTTGATATTGCCCTAAGAAATCCTTGCCTCTTGCATAAAGCTTGATACCCTCCCCCCCACCTCACCTAAAACTTGATACAGATTTCCAAGCAGCTCATCATGTTCATTTCTCTTCATAGCCCCCTCTAAGAAAGCACCAGCATCACCTTTCCCCGGAAACCCGCACCAGGACACGTGCATGAATCCAAACCCAGGCCCGCTCCCTTGAACAGTCAAGACGACGGGAGGCACACCCGATCCCTTGTGTGCAACCACGGCACTTGGAAGTCTCTCACTTCACACAGAAAGTGTCTGTCCCCTCCGGAGGTGCCCTCCAGCCCGACGTCTGACCTGCAACTCCCCTGCCCGAGCCAAGGGGAAGGGAAAGAGCCACCCCAGGCACCGCACGCAGCCCTCCCTCCGGGGCAGCGCTGCCCCGCGGGCACCCACCGGAGGAAGAAGAAGTAGGAGTAGCCCTGCATGACGGTGTGCGAGTGGCAGGAGAAGTAGCCCAGGCCCGTGAGGTTGAGGCGGGAGCCGGCGGGCACCTCCAGCATGCTGCCCCACGCCTGGTCGCACAGCATCTCGATCTCGGCCGAGTAGAAGAGCCCGTCCTGGCCGTGCCACGGCAGGTAGTTGTAGGCGCTGTACAGCTCCGGGTGCAGCGCCAGCACCTTGGCGTACACGATGATCTCGGCCAGCTCCGCGCGGCAGCTCTCGCTCAGCGGCCTCCAGTCCGAGGGCAGCTGGCAGCCCAGGACCGGCCCGAGGCTGAGCAGCACCAGCACCAGCACCGGCACCGGCGGCGGTGCGGGCGGCGGCGGCATGCTGCGGCGCGGGGCTGCCGACTGCGGAGCGCTT